ACTGTGGCAGTGATGGGGAGAGGTTCTACCTGAACCCCTATCTGAACAAATCTCCCACTCTGTCTGAACAAAAAATGGAAAAATGTCCTTGGGTGAGGATTAAAAAAAAGCAAGTCGCCCTGGATTCCCTCCGGTGGAGTCACCCGGGAAGCTTCCTCCACAGGCAGAGTCTGGAGCGCTGACCCACACTTGCAGAGAAACAGTCTCTGTGTGTAGCACACTGGAATCTGCATTCCAGACAACTCCATAGTCTCCCTCCACACACCAATTTTGAAAAGCAGTGTACCTATTAGCTCTTGGTCTAAAATTTGTAAAAATAAAAACTATTAAAACAAGTCTAACCTCTGGCTTATTAGCCATGAAGAAATATTTATTCCAGATTACTGTTCGGATGCCTTTATCATTCATTGTTCTCATTTACAGGGTGAGTAAAATGTGTCCCTGCACTAGGGGACTTCACAGGAGAAAAAGCAGGATTTTGATTTTGTAGGATGAGCAGGTTCACTGCAAGAGTTCAGTGCCCCTGGGTACTATCGAAGGGCAGAGGGGGAGAAAAATCAGGCCTGGTTGCCCTCTGATGACAGAAGGCCTGTGGAGTGGGTGGTCTCAGGCTGTGTGGAATTCACCAGGGGCGAGAGGGTGAGGCAGGGGTCAGGCAGGCGGACATTGAGCCGTGGCACGGAGTGATAGGGGGCAGGGGCGGGTAGATTGAGGGAATGGCATATTGCCATTGTCGCTCCGCTGAGGGGCTTAGGGAGGAACCGGTGGAGTCTGGAAGCTGAAAGATAAGGAGAGGCCGGACCTGAAGCACCCTGTCAGCTCTGCCAGGACTCCGGCCTCTGGCCTGCCTGGGACTGACTGTAAGTCCAGGAAACTCACGACACGAAAGCAAGCGGAAGTGTGCACCGCTTTGCACCCGCAGAACCAGCCAGCAGGGGCCTCCCAAGGAAGGGAGTGCCCTCTAGGGGCTGAGATGATGCCTGAGTGCCGTTCCTCATTGTTCCTCATTGTTCTCCGCGCTCCTGCCCACTGGGCTGAATCCAGTGCCTGTTCCGGAGGGAGAGACCGCTCCACCATCCCACCTGGCTGCAGCTCTGATTACATCATGCAGGCATTTCATTGATAAGCTACCGTGATTGATCATTATCTTATACTGGGGCTAACTTAGAGGCTTGCTTTCCCTGGCAGATAGCTTCTGGCAAATTGTATTTCTGGCAAATACAGGTTGCTTCTTGTTCAAAGTTAAAAAGCCCTTAGCCCATATATTGTATAGTTCTGTTTATATGAACTGTCCAGAATAGGCCAGTCCATAGATTAGTGGGTGCCAGGGGCTGGCAGAGGGTGAATGGAGAGCGCAGGGCAGCAGTGATGGTTGCCCAGCCCTGGGAACGCAAACCACTGGACTGTGCACCTGAAAGGGGTGAATAGTAATGCGCTGGGAATGTTGTCTCAGTGAAGCTGTTATTTAATGTTTTTGGTTTTTTAGTTGGGACTTTTAAAGCCCTCAGCACTTCTGTTACCAGGGTATCACGCAGGCAGCTCTGCCTGAAGGACTTCTTTTTCAGTTGACAATATAGAAATCCCAGTGCTTTCTTTTGCACTTTCTTTTTGTTTTGTTTAGTTAATATCGTTCCTCTTCTATTCATCTTCAGTTCTGTTTCATTTTAAAAGTATGTATATAATGAAAAATGTACATGGTAGGTCCAAAGAGAGTTTGTGGGAAGACGAGTGCTTGAGTCACCACAACACAGGGAGAGAAGGGCCTTAGAAAGTGTGCTGTTGTTTGAGGTTGGCCTGGAACGACGGGTGGACTCTAGACAGACGGCTGGCGGTGCGGGCTGGAGGAGCGTGCAGCCCGGCAGGGTGTTGTAGGACAGAATGTGACTGCAGGGAGAGGAAGAGGTACCAGAGAGTGTGGAATGCGAGGCTAGAAAGTGATCAAGTGCGAAGTAGTAGAAGATTTTCAACTAGGAAGCGCAGGAACTGAGCCGTAGGGTGGGTATGGCATAGTTTGGGACCAGGAGCGACTTGGGTGAGTGGGAACCAGGTCAGAGCCCAGACATGGAGGGAGGGAGGGTTTCAGAAGGGAGGAGTAAGCGGTGACCTCAATTTAATAAGCTTCTCTTTCTTCCTCCTGTTAGTCATCTTGCCTGCCACGAGCCTGTTTTCTCTTGCTCCTTAGTCAGGCATTGGGGTAAAAGGCAGCAGGGAGACTGAGGAGGGGTGCAGAAACAAGAATAGAAATGAAGAGAAAAGGTGGTGAGGACAAGGTATAGTTTGCATGCTTTGGTTCTGTGATTCAGCATTTCTTCTTCATGACTTGGTGGGAAAAAATCTAGTCTCTTTCAGTGGAAAATATAGGATAGGAAGTCTTATTTAATTCCAGTGTAGTTGAAACTCTGCCTCCCTGTCCCCATCTTTAAAAGGGAAGAGTGCCTACCTCCACTGTTGGTAAACCAGAGAATCCAAAAGTCTTATTAAAGACTTTTTAAAAATACATTGGACTCAGCTAATTTGTAGACATCCATTTCCTTGGCAAATAAGGGTCATGACGGTGTCCCCATTTGTTATCTGACAGTGAGTGTAGACATCTCTGTCAAAGAAAACTCATGTCAGCTCTATTATGTTGAATTCCGTGAAATTGCTATTTGACTGTTTTCAACCTGCAAAGAAATGGCTGTTTCAGGAAGTTTCAACTTCACAGATAATTGCTTGATAGTTACCTGACATAGCCCAGAGTTTCACCTTTTCTGTCAATTCTTTCTATATTAAGGTGCTAATGATCTTTAACATACGCTCACCTCAAGTTCAGGGGAAGCCGGGAAGTCAAAGGAGGGCAGCCAGGTGGCGAGGGCTTGCCAAGGGCGAAGCGAGGAGGGCAGGGTGTGAGAGCAGCCAGCAAGCCGAGGCCAGGGCACCAGTCCTTGGATCCTTAAAATGCAGGCATTCTGGTTTAGAAGTGACACTTCTGCCTCAAGGGTTTTCCTTTTCTAGGTGGGGTCGTGGGCAGTTTGGACAGTTTCGGGTCTTCTGCAAGATGCTGGAGAGGACCTGTGTGCGTCTCTAGGGAAACGAGATACTTAAATATTGGGACACAGATCAAATGTTAACGGGGAACAGGACTTAGAACAAGTTCCGGTTTTCAGGGCAGCGTGATTCCTGGCAGCCTAGCAGAGCCGGGCGCATAGGGCAGGTGCTGCTCAGTGAAGGTCACTGAGGGGTTGAAGGATAACATATGAAGACGTATTGTTTTGGTTGATTGTATGCTCTTGGTGTTTACATTAGCATGACTGGAACACATCAGTAGGCAAGAATGTGAATCCCAGCTCTTGTAGGAATCTTCCATTGTGATCACATCCAGATACTGAGATCAGGGTGTGGCCTCTCTGTACTTAGAATGTTGCTTGCAATAAATGTAAACAGTTTATTGCTACTGTAATATCACAGTGTTTCGGTTATGTGCTTAGTACTGCAGTGGCTGGGCGTGTAAAACTGAAAGACGATAGGGTAACCTACGAGGGACTGCGGGGCTTGTCCTGTAGGAATACAGATTATCACCAAGAGCTCCCAGCTCCACTCAGAGAAAGGCAGACATTTGTGTTAAGCCATGGGCAGAAATACCATCGCAGCAAAACCTTAATTGTGTAAGACCCTCTTCTCCCGGGCATCCAGCGTAATTGTCCCCCATGTGGAAGAAGCCTGAGAGGGCGGCCGAGGGCCTTCACACCTTTCCTGTGGCTTCAATGACCGTTGGTGCATATTTTAACTTCCATTTGTTTCCTTTTAGTTCTGCGGTTAACTAGAGATGTACTTAACACCTCTGGACCTGATTACTGAGGTGGTCGTGGACTCCGGAATAGTTTAATTTATTAAAGATCTGAAGAGTGATAGAGGAACAAAAGAATCACATAAGAAGGGGAATAAAACAGAATTAATGAATGTGTTAAGAGTCCTTCTCTGCTGGGCATGTTACCTTCTCATCTTGACCCACACTGTCCATAAGTACCCACATATCTCCTGTAAGGATGTCTCTTTGTAGGATATGTTTCTTTCACTTCTGTCATCCTCTCCGCCCTCTGACCACGCTTGTCCCCAGGAGAGTTCCAGAGCAGGTGGCGAGCCGCTCCGCCCTGTGTGGCGTTCACGTCCTGACGCCCTGCTGCCCGAGCATCTCCTTGCCTGCCCCCTCGTTCTTCCTAGCAGGTTCGCGCCAGGCGGCGGACCACTTGGCTCCCAGTGCGTTTGCCCTGCCCTGTCTCTCTGCGTTTTGGCAAGTTCCGCGGCAGAGCGGCAGTGGTGGGGGAGAGCAAGCCCCCTGCCGGTGCCGGTGCTGAGAAATGCACACGGCGGCTCGGAAGGGCCTCTTCCAAAGGGCTGGCACGAGGTCCACTTACAGAAGCTCGGGCCCTTTATTTGCACAGAGCTCTTCCGTCTTCAGTCAGTCTGTTTCTTGTTAGACACAATTATAAATTACTCAGTGTGGATCCACATGAGGTTGCTACTAGACACAGTCACACTCACACACACACAAAGAAAGAAAAGAAAACTGGAAAGCCAGTAACTAAATAGTTGAAAGAAGAGCCAGGAAAATCTCTGAAAAATACCCAAAAGGCAGCAACAAAGCGGCAAGACGGGCCCTTGGGCTCAGGAGCACTCCTCAGCCCGTCCAAGCCTCGCTGGTTTCTGGGGTAACACGCGTGTGCCTGTGCGTGGCCTGCGTCACGAGAGGTGGCTATGCTCAACCGTGGTCTAGTTAAGTAAGAAATGAAGTAATGCATTTGGGGAATATTTATGTCAAAATGGTATAAGTTTAAAATTTTGGTGTGTATTGTGTAATGAGCCTTAGTTATGTGGGATGTCCCTCCCTGGTCCCCAGCGACACCAGATAAACAGGACAGTGTCATACGGTGGAGTGAGTTTGCCACAGCCACTCTGTGGTCTCCCGACTTCTATGTTGTTGTTTATTCATGGGGTTTTCCTTCCCTTTTCTTTGGTTTCAGATGCGAGTGTCTCTCTGGCTTATGTGGTTTCCCCGTGTGTGAGGTGGGATCCATTCCCCGCATAGTCTCTCGTGGAGATGGGACACCCGGAAAGTGCTGTGATGTCTTTGAATGTGTTAATGGTACGTGGGGTCTCTTGTTCTCAGAGAGTGTACATTTGTGCAGGAGGAGGGGGAGGAGGGCAGGTTCAATCCAGCGGTGTCTGCCTTTTATACAGCAGGGCATATACTCAGGGACTTGATGAAACTCGCTCAGAAAGGAGGTTCGGTTACGATCCCAGCGTGCGGTCACGGACGTCAGGGCATCATCGTTCCATCCACCAGAGAGAGGATCTGGGAAACGTAATAGCAGATTGCATGGAGCTGTCATATTCTGCTGGGTTTCAGTAGCACAGCAATTTCAGGATTTCAGGGAAAAACCATAATGCTGTGATCACACTGCTCCTGTCATCTCCCCATCTCGGTGCTGTCGGGAGGTAACAGGTGGGACCAGCACCACGCGGAGCTACCGCAGTGTGAAAAGAAAAGACATTGAGCCTCCGGGCGCACATTTTCCTGCTTAGAGAGAACCTCTGCGACCAGTGCTTGGTCACCAGCGTTGGCCTGCTGTCAGTTGGAGCCCTGTGGCCCAGAAATAGGATTCTGCAGTCACAAGATTCCTTCAAATAGAATCCACCTCTCCCTTTCACCTTGCGTGAGAGGGTTTGGTGTTTGGGGGCAGGGTGTTCGTTGAAGTTAAATGCCAGAAGACAGGAGAACCTAAAATGCCCCTCTATCAGAATTTTCAGAAGAAAAATGAAGAGTGAAACTCACTGTAGTGATGCCCTGGCTGGTCTCGCTCAATGGTTAGAGCATCGGCCCGAGGACCAAAGGGTCAAGGGCACGTACCTGGGTTTGCAGGTTCGATCCCCAGCCTCGGTCAGGGTCGTGTGAGAGGCAACCAAGTGATGTATTGCTCTCACATCGATGTTTCTCTCTCTCCCTGCCTCCCTCCCTCCCTTCCACTCTCTCTAAAAGTCAATGGAAAAATATCCTCAAGTGAGGATTAACAACAACAAAATTATTTTTAAAAAAGGGTAAAACTCAAGTGAGACATCAGTAATCTCAGAGCATTACTTTGTCAGTGCCTGACTCCCAGGGGACATGAAGACGGAATGGGACAAATACAGCAGAACCGCACACATGGAAACATCGTACTGACTGTTGCCTGTGAGAGTCAGTTCAGAAGGTTGTCTGCCCGCCTCCCTGGCCTCCCGCCCCCACGAGCAAGGTTGGATGGCAGCTGTCTCACCGTGCCCTGTGGGTGTAGTCCGGTGGCCACGCGTTGTTCTGCTCTGACGGAACGCTCGCAGCGTGGCTTTGTGCTTAGGAGAGAACACGGACAGGAACCAAACGGCCTCAGTTTGAAATGGGTCTTCCTGGGCCTCAATTTCCACATCTGTAAAACAGAGTAATTAACAGTAAATTAAGTGAGGTTTTCTGTGAGAAGCACTTGGAATTGTGTCTCAAGAGCAAACAGTCCTATTATTTTGTATTCCCACCTGGACATTCCAGGGAATAGAGAAAGTGAGGTGAGCTTCTGGACCTAAGGACCTTACACATACGAGCCCAGGTGCAGAAAAGTTTCCTTGTCCCTCCGTAAGTCTCTCACTGCTTCTCCACACCCACATCATCAGCCAGCCAGTAGTCATGTCTGCTCAACACCAGCAAATGGCTAAGCAGACCTTTTATCTCTGGTACCACTGTAGTTTCATTGATTGTAGGTGATTTTCTGTATTTTATTGACACCATTTGAGATGGAAATGGTCGCCCTTAGCCTGGGCCGGCAGCATCTCAGATGTGTTCTCTTCCAGTTCTCCTCACCACACAAGTGTGCTGTCCGTCTCCCGTTCCCGAATCTGAACTGCCAGAGGACATCCGTGTGTCCCGCCGGCTGTCTGCCGCACGGAGGGCACCCGGGTTTTGTCGGGTGGGTGAGGGAGGGATCTGATATAGACCATCTTAGTTCCCTCTTAGTTTTGCACCAGCCCACAGAGGGTGTGCTTTGTGGGATTGCTCTGTCTTCCACTGCCCTACACTTGAGACTTAAGTCATTTGTCCCCTACAAATACCATCTCTGGCAACACCATCTGCTGTCGTGACCTCTGGATGACGAGGAGGGGTGCCTTTCTTCTTCCCTTGCTTCTTGGTTGTAGGGACCCGTACCATGGCTGTCTTTTCGGGATGTGAACTTTTCATCTTGCTCCAATGTGGTGTGACCCGGACAGCTGATAGTGACAACCCCATCGCCGTGGCCTGGGCTCGTCTCCAGGGCCTGCTCCGGTTTATAGCCTCACTTTATTATTATTATTATTATTATTTTTTAATTTTATTTTTGTTACAGATGTTTCTCCTTTTTTTACCCCATTGACACCCTCCTCCCTATCCCCCCCACCCCATCCCTGGCTTTGTTGTCTGTGTCCATCAGCTATGCGTACGTGCATATAAGTTCTGTGGTTTATCTCTTCCCTCCCCCCACGACTCCCTTTTCTGAGAGTTGTCAGTCTGTACCCCACTTCCACATCTCTGGGTCTACTGTATTCCTCAGACTGTTATGTTCATTATATTCCACAAATAAGTGGGATCATGTGGTATTTGTCTTTTTCTGCTTGGCTTATTTCACTTAGAATAATACTTTCCAGGTCCCTCCATGTCATCTCAAAGGATAAGAGATCTTTCTTACAGCTGCGTAGTACTCCATTGTGTATATGTACCACAGCTTTGTTATCCATTCGTCTACTGATGGACACTTGGGCTGTTTCCAGATCTCAGCTACTGTAAATAGTGCTGCTACGAACATGGGGCACAGCCTCACTTTTTATGGAGCTCTGAGCCCAGGAGCAGCCCTGCCATCTGCGGAAGGAACTTTCCGTGTTTTCAGTGGTGCCTCTTTCTTGCCACCGTAAACGTGTTGGGTAATCTGTGTCTTATTTCTTGTCCTGATGTTAGTGTCACTATATCAGTCATTCAGTTGTAGATGAGACTAGAATCTCTAATATTGTGAACATTCATAATCCTGCAGAATAATGTTTAAGGACCTTCTGTCTCAAAATCTGTATTTGACTCTTTTGACATATACATGCACATGATGCACACGTACACACACACATATATTGGGGGGGGGTGTTCATTTATTTGCACTAGTGCCCCAGAAAGTCTTGCTGTTGTCATAAGGTTACCATCAAAGGATATTACATATCAAAGATGTATCATCATCACCTAGAAAAGCAAAGCTCTGTGGTGCGTGTGTGTGTGTGTGTGTGTGAAGCCTTGCTTATCCACAAAGGGTCTGAGGCAACTTCACGGCGAGAACAGGTACAATAACATAGTGGTGAAATATTAATGAACAAGGAGAATCAGAAACGTGCAGTACTGAAAGGTTGAGAGTGAAAAGCAAAAAGAAAGCTCCCACACAGGTGGTCAGGCTGTGAGTCTCCATCTGTCCAATCGCTGGAGTTAAACATCACGGCAGGCTCCAGCTTCCTGGCCACCAAGTGAAAAGGGATCACTATTCCAGTTTCACTCTTCTCATACGGAAACGTGAGAGGATGCGGTAGATAATATCCCCTGTCGTTCTACTACCGCCATGCAGACCCCGGTGTTCTGTGGCTACTCTTCTCAATAAAAAGCAAAGGCAAAATATGAAAATGCATCTCCGTGAAAGCAGTTCTCAGAGGTCATTTGGATATAAGCTGGAAGCTAGATGCCTGTAGCGTGATATCTCAATTTTGAGAGTTCCCCCGCACAGAGGAATGAATGCGGAAAGCCCAGCTCAGGTAGCTTAAACCTATGGCAGTTCCCGAGCGTCCATTCAGATGACCCACGTGCTTGCATTCTTATTTTCTTAAAGATACACATAAAAGTGAAAATACAAGATTATAAAATGTTCACAGAAAAATCCAAGAACTCCTGAGCTTTGAAAACCTTCGCCCGGATGAATAGGTGGACCTAACATTCTCTATAAACATCACCTCCCCTTGCGGTTTGGCTTGTACTGGTTTGGGTTTGGTGGAAGGCTGGGAGGGTTGCGAGCCGGGTTGTGACAGGTTGTGACTGCATCTCTGATGAGGGCCAAAGGGAGACTTGTGTGGTGTTGGCTGGACGAGAACCCTGTTGTTGAGGAACCAAGGAGCAGCTGATGTGCTTGAGTTCTTTTGTGTAAACTTCGACGCCATCAAAGTCATCACTTACAAGGGTGATTTTCATAGCAGTGGTGGAGCCAGCACAGGCACCCTTAGAAAACCGTCCTGTGTCTGCTGCAGCCCAGACAAAACCTGTCGCCTGTCAGCTGGAGTGAATGACGGCCCTTCCTTTCCGATGGACGTGTTCTCGATCTTGTGCATCCTGTTGACTTACCCTCGCCCCTCTGCCATCTCCTGGGGGCATCGGGGTTTGACATCTCAGGGATCCAGTGTATATGACAAAAATCTAAATAAAGTAGAACATTTTTGGTTTGAGCGTCATAGCTAAACACTGACTCTTCCAGCCTCAGAAACAAACATGTAAAATGGGTCAATCACAGGAGAGCCTCTCCAAAGTCAGTGTGGTCCTCACGTAAAAGTCTGGCCTTGGAAACTCAGACCTGAAGGCTGTTAATAGAAAATTAGTACAAAAACATCTATTGAGAACCCATCGTCTGCATAGCGGTAATGCTCAGTAATGTTCCTAAGGACATACTGTTCATTCCCACGGTCCTGGAGAGAAGCTGACACGTTGAGAGAAATGTTCCACTGACTTTGCATTTATCGAGCACCCATCCTGTTCCTGGGCCTTCTTATCAAGCTAATTTTGCTTAAGAGTGATACAGCCTTTTTGCAATCCTTTGTAGGTATTGTTCCCTTTTCCTTATCCCAAAATCGTTATCTGCTTGGCATAGGGCAGCACACCAACTCCCTTCCCCCATAGGGAAGAAAGATTTTCATCCATGAACCCTGTCCTTGTGATTGTATCAGTCTGCTGTTGACTCACGAAGAAATTTTCAGACGTTTCTCTTCTGTTATATAGTCATCTTTCGGCTTATGATGTCTACCCACTGGGCTTCCTGTGCAGCTCACCCCCCCATCCCCCTCCCCTCCCCATGCCAG